GGTGGTGACCGCTAGGACCACCGCCATGCCACCACCACTTTGCATAGATTCCTAACTTTTCACTCTCACAAGTCAAACAAAACACAGGTACTTCAAAAAAAAAAGTTAAATCCACTTTTTGTTCAGTTATACGGTTACATGATGATGATGATGATGATGATGATGATGACATGTGTTTATGGTATCGGCTCCTTGTATGTATAATGTAATGTATGTAACTATTGTTTTATTAAAAGGAAAAAATAAGGGAATTATTTAATGTATGATTTGGATCAAATATGAATTATAGGCAATTTAATTAATATTTTATAACATATAATGTAAGGCATGTTTATTATTTTGGGTTTATCTCAATGTCTTTCGTAACATATGCATTATCTTTTCTATTTGTGGATTTCGTTTTCTTTTCTCCTTAGTCATTGCATATTACATTTTTTTAAACGGCCTTGCGTATTGCATGTAACGAAATTCATATCGCAATCTTTAATATTTTCATGTAACTTGGACTCATAGCATGATATATCAAGTAGCATTGGTTTAGGTCTAGCTTTCAAGCAATAATTTTGTCAAACATAATAATGGTATGACAATTAATTCAAGGGATAAATTTGAAAAAGAAAACAAGTATTTGAAATATCTTAGTCACATAAGAATTAATTTGTTTGGGCAAAGGTTTTTTTTGGGTCTATTTGGCATTTAGATATTATGGATGCCAGGCCACTCACTTGTTATCTATCATTTATACACGTGTCAACAACATATGCGACCCCCAATCTTTTTAATTGTCTCAAATAAATAATTTTCTATCTACTTAATTATTAAATAGTTTTCTCAAATTATGTATTAAGATGTATTTTTATTCCAAATAAATTAACAAGGATTTGAACCGATGCAGAGTCATTTATTCTGTAAAAATATATTTTAGATCAGTAATTTATCATAAATTATTTTTTTAGAGAAGATGAGTTAAAAACATGATGTCTCAAGTCACCCGTTTATGATATAATGTGCTAAAATTTAATTCAACTTGGAATTATAAAAAAAAAAAAGAACCATCTAACTTGGAATATAATTTTAATTTGGTATTTAATAACTTTAAATAAAATATATTGCATCTACCACTTCGTTAATATCGCCATCAAAAAAATGTTCTCACGAATCGTTGGACCTGTATTCATGGACCGCGTTATCATTTTATGATACTTGTAATAATGATCATCTTAATATTTCAACTTTCCATTTATAATGAATTATGAAAAATATCTCTATTTTTAAAATAGAACAACTCAAGAAATTACTTAACAATTTTCAAATGGTTGGATAATCCATATTAGTAAGGAGACAAATTGACAAGAATGCCCTCGTTGCTTTGAAAGATGGCATCTGGACTTTTTGGTTGGGCGATGGGGGCACACACAACTCCCATGAGGCCCATCCCTATCAACATAATAAGTATAGGTGGATGCGCCATCACTCATTTATCATCGTGTATGTCTTTTGATTATTCGTTGAAAACAACATGTTTAAATTTAAACTACAAGTAAAGCGTAATGTAGTTTTACCCCTTTTTCAAAAATAGCGTTTTTTCATTTTTAAATATATATTCACAACCCGTTTTATTATAATAATGGATATTCGATTATATATTTGTGTTCCATGATATATTCACTCGGTATATTATACGTGTAAATTAAATTTATAAATTAATCATTAAATGAGGTAGTTAGATTAATTAAATAATTGTTTCTTGGACAAAATGAGGATATTTGGATTGATATATGCGATTTCACTTTCTAGTTTCAAACCGATCCAAAACAAACCAAAAACCAAGTCTTGAATATTCAACTCGAGGGCTTTGTTTATAAGTTCCAAACAAAGCAAGATTAACCCACAAACTGAATATCTACGTGATTATCTAATATTAAATGATAAACTAAACAATAAATTGTAACAAAAAAGCAATACAAATAATCAAATATTTAAATATTTAAGAGAATCAATTAATCAAATATTTAAAAACAAATAAATATATTTCGTTACACGCCCCAAGTGGAGCGTAAAAAAGGACTTATCGTGTAAAACAAATCACTATCATTAAACTCATCGCCTCTCGGCCACCTTTACACAGCAACCACAGTATCCCTAGCACCACCACTTGTTACCAACTACCGCCATTTTCGTCGCCTCCAACCTCCGAATTAGGGTTTTTACGATGGCGATGGTTTCAACTTCTCTTACACCAGCATCCCAGCTCTCCGGTGCTAAATCCGCCGCTGCTTCTCCGCCTCTTTTCTCCGGACTCCGCCGCTCTTCGAAGCTCGAGTCCGCTTCACTCTCCACAACTCAATCGTTCTTCCAGTCTGTCAATTCTCACATACGTCTCTCCTCTGCATCTACACGACCTTGCACCGGCATCGTCGCCATGGCCGGCACCGGGAAGGTAGATAGATATACATGCTTTTTTCATTTTATACAGATCTAATGTTTGATATATCCGTTCCAATTAATTCTCATTTGCTTCGAACGATAATCACACTCTCAATGCTAACTTAAGCAGCGAAAAACTAAAAGAATTGAACACGGCTCTGATTTTTTTTAGTATTGCAGCATTCCTTGGATTTCTATTTATAGTCGTAGTATGTTAATACGCGATATTACAAGTTTAGTAAACTGGCTATGAGTTCTCAACTTGTAATAAAGTTGAATTTTGATATTGGGATAAATGTAAGAACTAGCCAAATACTTTCATCAATCTGCTTAGTTTCTTTTCTTTCCATTCAACATTGTACTTTAATTTTTTCTATTTTGTTAACAAGGCATTTTACTTACAAAATGTAAGCCGATTTCTCAATATTAGCTACTGACAATTGATATCTGTTCTTTTGTTACAGTTCTTTGTTGGAGGCAACTGGAAATGTGTAAGTGATTGTGCCTTCAATTTTTAGTCACAATAAAATTGAAATCCTGAACACCGATTTTTTGTACTTTCACTTATTTTTTTTTTATGTGGCTTTTTTGTAACATTTGTTCTAGAATGGGACCAAAGATTCAATCAAGCAGCTAGTCTCAGACTTGAACAGTGCAACTTTGGAGCCTGATGTTGGTTAGTTTTCTATCTTCATCTCTATTTCATTCAATTGTAACATAATCTAATTATCCCAACTGCTTTTATCCACTAGACTTTATAAAACCTATTTGCAAAAAAGAAGAAAACTTTAAGAAGCGTGTTAATTGTTCTATCATATTAAATTCAGTTGCAGTAAATACTAAACAAGTAACATACATTATTTCTTTAGCAATCCATATTCATGATTCTTGATTTCTTGGAGCATTGGATTTGAGTTTTAGTTATTTGAACTCATCAGATGTTGTTGTGGGACCCCCTTTTGTTTATATCGATCAAGTAAAGAGCTCTTTATCTGACCGAATTGAGATAGCTGCTCAAAATTCTTGGATTGGGAAAGGTGGAGCTTTTACTGGAGAAATCAGGTATTCACCTGTCTTTCATTGATCACTATCTCTTACTTGATATATAATAATTCCAATACTTTACTACTTGTAAATTGTAATTACAGTGCTGAGCAGTTGAAAGATATCGGATGCAAATGGGTAATTCTTGGGCATTCTGAGAGGAGGCATGTGATTGGGGAAAACGATGAGGTTAGATTTATAAATTCATTATCTTCTTTCTATTTTCTAAATCATAAAAGGTGAAAATCACATTCTAAATCACTTTAAATACCAGTTTATAGGTAAGAAGGCTGCATATGCATTAGGCCAGAATCTTGGAGTAATAGCTTGCATTGGAGAACTACTGGAAGAAAGAGAAGCTGGCAAAACTTTTGATGTTTGTTTCAAGCAGTTGAAAGCTTATGCAGGCAACCTTTCATTTATTACATCATCATCCTACTTTTTTGCTTTTTAAAAAATCTACCCAATTTTAACATTATTTATTTATTTATTTAATACAGATGCTGTGTCGAGTTGGGATAACATTGTAATTGCTTATGAGCCTGTATGGGCTATTGGAACCGGTAAAGTGGCCTCACCAGAGCAGGCTCAGGAAGTACACGTGGCAGTCCGTGATTGGCTTGCAAAAAACGTCTCACCTGAAGTTGCATCCAAGACACGTATCATCTATGGAGGTATTTCATTTCATTTCAAAAACAATAATAAAATATTTATTTGTTTATGTTTAAATAAATATTTATTTGTTTAGGATCTGTAAATGCTGGGAACTCCGCTGAGCTGGCGAAAAAAGAAGACATTGATGGATTTCTTGTTGGTGGTGCTTCTTTGAAGGTATTATTATTTATATAAATATAAATATATTCAAATAGAAAATAAAAATAAAAATGAATATTGATTGCAGGGTTCTGATTTTGCAACCATCATTAACTCTGTGACGGCTAAAAAGGTTGCTGCTTGATGTATGTGTCCGTGATTATGGGCAAAGTAAGTAGTGTCATTTTTAGTTAAGATTATGATGTTAGTGCCATGTCAGCATCAGCAACTTGAATTGTGCAATTTCTTTTTCTCACACAGGCTTTGCTTTGTAATAGATGTCATCATCCCTGAGTGTACAAGACTTTTGGTTATAATTCTTGAAGAAAACAAGAATACAGAATAATATAATGTGCAATAAAGTAAATGTCAAATTTTATTTTATGCTCTGTTTGGTTGCTAAAATGGACGAAATTCAGTTTTGTCGGAAGTAATTCAATTTCTTATGCAGTAGAAAAGAAAAACTAAAATTTTTATCTTATTGATTGTTTATTCAAATTTGGTATAAGGAGGAGTTATGTTTCTTCATTGAAAGAGCATTTGGGTATATCTTTTAATTAGAATCCAAAACGAAAGTGGTTTTTAGTCATAATTCATACTCAAAGAATATATACCTTAACCTAACTTAACCTACCCCATCTTCAAAGCAATCTTACACTCTTGTATTAGTTGTATGTATGTATATATATATACATGAGGATTTGATAGTGTGAATTATGGAGCGATTTGACCCGGACACAAAACACGGGTGGAGGGCCCAAACATTGTCATCCATCTCATTGCCACCTCTTCCTTTGGTTGCGTTTCTTGCCATTGTTGTCTTCTTGTTGTCTCTCTCAGAATACTCAAACTTCAAATCTTGGTCGAGTTATGTAGGTATCAATTTCCAATTATTACTGTTCTTAATGCCGGTGATTCTTGTATTTTTCTTGTCTTCAAGTTGGATCATTGAAGGTCGGTGGTTTAACTTGGGTTCACGGAAAAGAAAAGACTTGATGAACACAACTCAGGTTTCTGATGAATACTGACCCATGAATAACTTAAAAGAAAACAAACAATGTTATGTGTTTATGTTGGAGTTATTTTTTGCTTTAATTGTATATGTTTAAGAGAAAATGAAATGGATTGCATCGTTGGAAAAAAGGTTGTATTAGTTTTGCAATTAGTGTTGCAAAATAAATTTAATGTTTATAATGTTACCTAAAAGAGCTTGTAAGTGTAAAATTTTATAGATATTTTTTTGGTAGTTATATCAAGCGTGATGGAATCATAGAAAGCAACAATAAATTTTATAAATTATTATAAGTATTTTTTTCAAAGGCAATTAGTTAAAATTTCATATATAATTTTGTTGATTGAACATTTTTTCCAACTTCAAGAGTAAAAAAGGGAGCTTTAGAAAAAGTACACAAGTGCTTCAGCTTCAAGGAAAGCATATTATATATTTTGTGTCATAATAGCTGTTTTTTTTTTTTTTTTTTTTTTTCTTTCGAAAATGAATAATTGTTGTAATTAAAAACAAATAAAATGTTATTAGGTAACGATTACGAGTTCTATTTTGTCAATTATTTTTTCTTGGGTGGGTTGTTTTATTTTTCTACAACAAATTTATTCAAATGTTAGCATGATTGAACTTTACAAGAATTAAAAATCATAATATGATTTTTAATTAAGTAAACCTAATTAATTTTTTTTCTACAATATCTATTGGAAATCCAACAAAACGACCAACCAATAATATTATCAAACAAAACTTCCTTCCTTGCTTTTCAATTGTTGAATATGGAGGCATTATGAAATGATCAAATCGACCAAGAGCGTAGCCGCTTCAACGCCTTTTTCTGGGGATTGAAAATCATAATTGATATTGTCATTAATCCAATCTTTAGCCAACACAAACGATTGGACTTGTATAACATCTGCAAAATGGACCAAGACATTTTAGCAAAAGCATATTTTTAGGACAATAAAACAAAAAATAAATAATTAAAAGTTAATAAATGAAATATATAATAAATATGATAATATAAATAAACTAGAAGATTAATAAAGAGAAATTGAAAATGTTATGATTAAAGGACCAAAGTTGCCAGTTTGTGAAAGTTAAAATTCAAGACCAAACAAGACTTGAAAGACATAGATTACTTAGGAAAACATTAAATCACTAGTTAATTTCCAAGTCAAAATGGTGATCTAGGTGTAAGCTTTTGAAGTTGAGAGACCAAAACCGTTAAATCCATGAAAGTTAAATTAAACCATGAGTTGGCACATAAGATTTAATAGGATACAAATGTTAGATACATTATGGGGAATGGTCAAAATGAAATAATGGATGTTTAGTAAGTGAAATGGTGTTCATTTTAATAAAATTAAGATCCAAGGGTAGAAAGTGTAACATTTTGTGTTATAAGGATGCAAACTCTTTCCCTTCTCGTTCTTTGGAACATATAAGCCTTTGTAGAAACTTGGATGGGGTGATTTCTCTCCTAACTAGAGATTTGAATCTCTAGTATGAAGTCATGGAAGAATTAGACAAATTCGTCTCCATCTTTAAGCATCAGAAGGTAAAATCTGTAATTATCTCTTTATTCCTTAATCTAGGGTTTGAGGAACTACTTCTAAATCCAAAAATGAATGTTGTATAAGAGTTAAATTGATTTTTTTAAATTGATATTCTATAATTAGTTCACCAATTAATCAATTAATTTCATATATAATTGCTTTATAGGGGGTGTAGTTGGAGTTTTATGAGCTAAATCAAAATCCATATCATGTATGAGATCAATTCATTTGGATCCATGGAATTATTAATGAGATTCAAGCTTAGAAGTTGAGTTTTGAGCTTGAATCTGACCAAATCTTCACTTTATGGGTTAGTCATGGATTAAAGTATGTTAAAATGTTTCTAAGTTAGTTTGTATCATCATAGATACATATTAAGGGTGAAAATCTAACCTAACGACAATTACAGAGCTTTAAAGCATAAAAATAAAGAAATCAAAAAGGTTATTTTAATCCATAATCTAATGGTGTTAGGAGTAAAATGAGATAATTAAAACATGCGTAATGGAGTTATTAAAGTATACCAATCATTAAAAATGGTTTAAAATGATGTTAGAAGGCTTAGAACTTAATATAGCAAAGTATGATGTTATTTTGGGTAAAATTGTGTGATGTAGCAATCATACATGCCGTGAGGAATTAGGCTAAATTCACACGGGCCATTTATTAGCTTGATTCCCATAAATCAATTTTTCACAACTTTCGTATTTGAGGCCATAATCGATTCCCATTACATCCATTGGTCCTTAGAAGGGGGGTTTTACGACCTAAGAATTGGTGTGACCATGTATGAACATTTTGGTCTTTTAGTAACTTATATTTGAAATCAATAGCTGGTAATGGAAGAGCACCAGTAGAATTTGGTTGAAGGCTATTCCATGCTTAGTGATGCTTCATACTGATAGTTACACTTGGAGAGGCTTGGTGAAGTTTGGATCACCTTTTAGAGGCTTGGTGAAGTTTTGATTCTCTTTACCTCTATTAGTCCTTATATTGTGAATATATCTTAGAAATTGGGTTTTGTGATCTAAGAGTTGGTGTGACCATGTTACGATATTTTGGTCTTTCAGAAACCTATATTTGAAATCAATAAGTGGTGATGGAAAAGCACCATAAGAATTTGGTTGAAGAATAGTCCATATGCTTTGGTGATGCTTCCTACACATAGTTGCACTTGAAGAGGCTTGGTGAAGTTTGAATCATCTTTCAGATTTGTTTAATTTCTTAGAAATTAGTATTGTGTATTTTTCAAATTGTAGTATCTTATAAATTTTCAAAATTTTGATGTTATACTTTGTAGTGTGTGTGTGTGTATATATATATATATATATATATATATATATATATATATATATATATATATATATATATATAGATTTTAGATTTTTAGTATTGTGTAATCAAACAGAGAACAAGGGGTGGGGGTGATGTAGATTCCAAGGGTCGGGGTTAGGAAACGAAGGATTTCAGGGACCGGTGGTGGCGCAAGGGAACTCATGCATGTAAACGAGGGATGCTACCTCTGCTCCGTTTTGGACCCATTGACATCTCTCTCTCTCTCTCTCTCTCTCTCCTCCCCTTATATATATATATATATATATATATATATATATATATATATATATATATATATATATATATAATTCCTAAAAAACAAAAGATGATGATTTGCTACTTACTTTTCCTTTCCATTAAATTAAAGAATTTCCAAAAAATTAAATAATATCATATCGTATATTGTTTTGAATCAACACATTTACACCTGTTTTCATCCACAAAAGTAGATTAAGGACAAAAACTTGTAAATGCTAAATTGCTAATACCCTTATATGCTTAACTTGAAGTACTTAAATACATTTAGACTACTTAGGTGATTATAACCAATCCAACTATTTATTAAAATATAAATCCACTTTTCTTTATACACACAACCCAATCATATCAATATAAAATTATACATATATATATATATATATATATAGAAACATGGTCATGTGAGGAGTCTTTTTTCGGTGAGAACTCGTGAGGATACTTTAAAAAATTGAAAAAAAAAAAATACAAATCATAAAATCGAGCATAATACTATATTGGAGAGAAAAAAAAATTGGATCATTAAAATTAGATGATGGATCATTTTTATGATCCACGATTCTTTTTTTATGATCCATGATTCAATTTTAATGATCCAATTTTTTTTTTTTCCATTTTTTCTCTCCAATATAGTATTATGCTCGATTTTATGATTTGAATTTTTTTAAAGTTTTTTTAAAATTTTTAAAATTTTTTAAGGTGCTCTCACTAATCCTCAACTGAATCGGATCCTATATATATATATATATATATATATATATATATATATATATATATATATATATATGAAAAGAGAGGTATCGTTGTGAATAGTATTCTATCATGATTGGTCCTTTTTTGGTTTCGTTCATAATCTTTTCCCGATGTCCTTTCCATGTGGTGCCATCAACAGATTCTTCGTCTACGTGTTCCTTCTTCTATTGTCTACTCCACCAGGGTTAGTCTACTACATCCATTGATCGATATCTTCTCGATTCTTCTGATTTTTCTTCATCCAATTTATTGTAACGCTTGGTTCAAGCATTATCTATTTTTCAAAATTTTAAGGTTTTAGCCTGGAACTTGATGAGTCGGGGAGCTCCAACTCGTCGTGTAGGGATCAATATGGACGTGGGTTAAGGACTGAACTCGACGAGTTGGGGAGCCCCAACTCGACGAGTAGACGCTGGAAAGGAAAACCCTAATTTTTAGGGTTCGCACCCTATTTAAATGCATTAAGCCTCATTGTTAGCCTCCCTTATCACCCTCTCAGTCCAGAGAAACCCTAGACCGTGTCTTATCTCCCATTTTGAGTGTATGAGAGCTTAAGGAGCTCTTTTTTGGTGTTTTTGTGAAGAAGCTTGAAGTGGTTGTTGCATAGGTGAAGGAAGAGGCAGTAGATCCGACATTTACATTGTGGTAGAAACCATTTGGAGGTATAAAGTCCTTAGCTTGACCTCTTGTTTCTTAGATCTTCTCCTATGGAAGTTTAGTGCCTTTTTAGTCCATTTTGAAACCATTTGTGGAGTTGAACATGATTTCAAGTTGTGACTCTAGTTCTGGACACCTCCAGGCCTCCTTGGGCCTAACGATTCAAGCTTTATCAGGCTTTGGCCATCCTCCATGCCCTAAACCCCTTATTAAGCTTCATATGAGTGTTTCAACCCCTTGGATGCCATGCATGGACGTAAAGTTAGCAACTTTACGTGGTATCTTAACCCTAGGGGACTGGATCTGTAGTTTGGGGCTTTGGATTCAACTGGAAAGGACTGAATATGAAAAGACTAAAGGAACTCGACGAGTTGCCTAGCCAACTCGACGAGTTGAGTCGGGTTTTCCTATTTTCTGGATTCTGAATAGACTCGACGAGTTGATGAGATAACTCGACAAGTTAGTT